AATGAAGTTGTCAAAGATCTACATCCTTCCTATGGAGAGGAAGGTTGATACCCCGAAGAAATAAAAGGAAGATCAGAAATGGAGAGGAACTGATCTCTTACCGCAGGCGGATTCAGTTTCTGATCTTCTTGAGAGATCTCTTTTTTTTTCCACAGAGAAAATATCCACAAAACGGTCCCCCGTCTAAACACTGGAGTGACCCACTGCCCAGGTATCCAAGTGCTTGGCAACCTGTTCTAATCCTGCGTGACATCACACATCACATCACAAGGAGAAGGAGAAGGAGAGGAAAGGAAAGGAAGGTCACTTTGTAACTTCTCCAGTCACAGATCCCTTGGGGAGAAAGGAACTTCTATTGTTGGAGTCCAAGGATTTGTCATCTTTTTTTAGAGGGGTCTGTGTAACCCTTGCAGAATCTAATGGAAGTGATGGAGTCCCTCCACAAAAGGACTTAAGCACAATTGATCAAAGTTGTGTTGTTATTTGTCACCTTTTATGGCAACCCCTAGGAAGGAGAGACCTCCAAGAACCATGGTTGATTTCACTGGAACAACCTGGAAAGTTTTTTGCTTTGTCTTTTTGAGACAAATGATGATTATTATTTTACTTTATTATAAAGAATGATTAAAAACATACAAAATCCAAAATACACAATTAATACATAATACACATACACAAACACAAACCACTCTGATATCCATCCATAATTCTTGCATAGATCTCACAATTATCTCACATCCATCACATTCATATATCTTTCGTTATTTTCTTCTTTGTGCCTTCTGGAAGATTGCCCTTACTATCTCTTTGTGTTACTCTATAACTTTATTGGAGTTCTATTTCTATGTCCGTACATTGTCTTCATTTTCTTTTTTCTTTCTAAATTCGTTTTCTGGTTGACTTTTTCAAAAGGAAAAACACAAGAATACTTTTTTCTTCTCCACTCATATCATGAGATGTTCTTCTAGATTTTCCCACAAATATATTTACCAAATATTCATATACAACTACCTCTATACACCTCTATATACAACTATACCTCTGTATACATATGTATTAACATATTATTCTATTACTTTTCTTTTGTTTTTAATTATTCTATAGTTCATGAAACAGAGAGTCTGTGAACATTTCGAAGGAAATGCCATAATCACTCAAAATCAATAAGGGTTTCTCAAAAACAAGTCATGCCAGACTAATCTGATCTCCTTTTTTGATAAAATTACCAGTTCAGTAGATGAAGGAAATGCAGTAGACATAGTATATATATCTTGATTTCAGTAAGGCTTTTGACAAAGTCCCCCACGATATTCTTGCAAACAAGATAGTAAAATTTGGGCAGGACAATACAACTGTTAGGTGGATTAGTAACTGGATGTCTGCCCGAACC